CTCGCATTCGTTTTCTGAGCGCAGACACTGAAGCGTACACACAGAAAGCGCCTCTCACAGCGCGCGAGTAGTCGCTCGCATTCGTTTTCTGAGCGAAGACACTGAAGCACACACACAGAAAGCGCCTCTCACAGCGCGCGAGTACTCGCTCGCATTCGTTTTCTGAGCGCAGACACTGAAGCGTACACCCAGAAAGCTCCTCTCACAGCGCGCGAGTAGTCGCTCGCATTCGTTTTCTGAGCGCAGACACTGAAGCGTACACCCAGAAAGCTCCTCTCACAGCGCGCGAGTAGTCGCTCGCATTCGTTTTCTGAGCGCAGACACTGAAGCGTACACCCAGAAAGCTCCTCTCACAGCGCGCGAGTAGTCGCTCGCATTCGTTTTCTGAGCGCAGACACTGAAGCGTACACACACAGAAAGCGCCTCTCACAGCGCGCGAGTACTCTCTCGCATTCGTTTTCTGAGAGCAGACACTGAAGCGTACACACACAGAAAGCGCCTCTCACAGCGCGCGACTACTCTCTCGCGTTCGTTTTCTGAGAGCAGACACTGAAGCGTACACACACAGAAAGTGCCTCTCACCGCGCGCGAGTACTCTCTCGCATTCGTTTTCTGAGAGCAGACACTGAAGCGTACACACACAGAAAGCGCCTCTCACAGCGCGCGACTACTCTCTCGCGTTCGTTTTCTGAGAGCAGACACTGAAGCGTACACACACAGAAAGTGCCTCTCACCGCGCGCGAGTACTCTCTCGCGTTCGTTTTCTGAGCGCAGACACTGAAGCACACACACAGAAAGCGCCTCTCACAGCGCGCGAGTACTTTTTCACGTCGCATGAATGGAGATTTACACACAAATGATGTCGAATTGTCCGTTTTGACAAGTATTCATGTAAACACAGTTGATTCCGTCTTAAGTGAACGTAAACAGCAGGGAGAACGTGCATCAATACATTGCATCCATTGCAGCGGTGCATTCGGTTTTAAAGGGACAGCAGCCTAATTTAGTTGCTATTGAGTCATTGATATTAATCAAGCAACAACAGAAAGACAGAAAATCACGCACTGCTCTTGACTGAAACACTTTAGTAGCCCTAAAGATTCATCTGAATTTTTTTATAGAAATAAATATGTCTGCTTGAAAGAATGAAGAATATGGTAAACAAGTTGCTATAAAGAATGCATAATTAGCCGATATAACCATTGGTATTTCATTAAAAAGAAGACCATGTTCTTGTTCTTTACGAGAAGTGGTTTTATTTAATTTTATCATAAAGGCTTGTTGTGTGTCACCGCAGTTAAATCAGTGTCTATCATGATAAAACCTTAATATCAAACCTATATAATGAGTTTTAGAGAAATGCTTAATAAATGCACTGTAACTAAACCCATTAGATTTCAGCCGACTAAATTTACTGTAGATTAGTCGAATAAAATCTTATGATATTTAGTCGACTAAAACTAGACTAAAACTAAAAACAATTCAGATGACTAAAATATGACTAAAACTAAATCAAAATTTGCTGTCAAAACTAACGCTGTTCCACACCAATCTCTAGAGCGATTCTGGAGCGATTCAGATCATCTCAGACATTAATTTTCAGAGCTGATAGAAGCGTTCCTGTGATTAACAACCAAAGACATCATACTGAGCAACAGTGAGAGTGATGTCCTCAGATCTGTGCTTGTCTTCTCTTCCAGATCCAGCACTGGCAAGCACAGCTAGACAGACACCGGTTAAAAATGTCCAAAGTTGCAGAGAGGTGAGTTCACTTGATCTGAATCTACTCAGTGTACAGGTCTGCAAGATTTTTAATATTTTTGAAAGAGTCTCTTCTGCTCAGCAAGGCTGCATTTATTTGATAAAAAATGCAGTAAAAATTGTGAAATATTATTAGAATGTGAAACAGCTGTTTTCTCTGTGAATCTCTGTTAAACTGTAATGTATTTCTGTGATGCGCAGCTGTATTTTCAGCATCATTACTCCAGTCTTCAGTGTCACATGATCTTCAGAAATCAGTATAATATGCTGATCTGCTGCTCGAGAAACATTTCTGATTATTATCAATGTTGAAAACAGTCGTGCTGCACAATATTTTTGTGAATCTTTTATTTTTCAGGATTCACAGATGAATAGAAAGTCCAAAAGAACAGCATTTATTTGAAATTAAAATCTTTTGTAACATTAGAAATGTCTTTACTGTCACTTTTGATCAATTTAATGTGTCCTTGATTAATAAAATATATTTTTATTATTATTTTTATTATTTTTAAATATTAAAAAATTATAGATATGCATATAATAATAATAATTATTATTTTTATTATTAAAATAACTAATACTTATTATTATATTTTTAAACAATAATAATAATTATGATTATTATTATTCTGCTGTTTATTATTAGTAGTAGTAGCATTAATATTATTGTAAATCTGCATGTGTGCCTGTAGCTTGTTGAGTTTCTCGGAGCAGTATATCGAGTACGATCCGTTCTTCACGACGCCGGAGCCGTCGAACCCCTGGATCTCTGATGATGTCACTTCCTGGGAGCTGGAGGCCAGGTGTGTGTCTCGCGTTCTTCCTTACTTTAGTGATGAACTAGTATTCGTTTCAGTTCAGTGTCATGAACCTTCAGATGAATCACAACACAAGATATAAAGCCCAAACTGAAGTGAAAAATCAAAGCAGGGCAAAAGTTCAAGAAGTCAATGTAAAAAATACACATAAAGCGCTGTGATGAGAGCACGTGTCTCCTCTGCTGCTGTAGACTGACTGTAGATCAGCGTGTGTGACTCTGACAGAAGAATAACTCGTCTCTCGCTCTCCGTCTCGCAGTAAAGAGGCAGGACAGCAGCGGGTGAAGCGCTGGGGGTTCGGCTTCGACGAGGTTCTGAAGGATCCGGTCGGGAGAGAGCAGTTCCTCAAGTTCCTGGAGTCCGAGTTCAGCTCCGAGAACCTGAGGTAAAGACACCAGCCTCCAGCTTCAGAGCACTCTCATGAGAAAACAGGAGGAGGAGGATGATGATGATGAAGAACACGAGTCTACGCTAACCTAACCCTGGAGCTGGATGATAATGTATTTATTTTTTGGAACGATATAAACAATCATGCAGATGAAATTTGCTAACTTTTTAATACAAAGGGTCAAAAATCAAACTTGATTGAGGGCCGTGGGTCAAAAGTAAATGTTGCTTTATATCCAACTATATTATATGTTTAACAATTTAAATAAACTAAACGTAAATGTTGCATTACGTCTGTTATATTGTATTAGAATGTATACAATTTTTACCATTTTTAAATAATTAAATAAAATATAAATGTTGCATTATATCTAATTAAATAAAATAATTATTTCCAACTATATTATAATAAAATGATTACGTTTTTTAACATGTCTAATAATTAAACAAAAGTAAATGTTGTATTATATCCAACTACATTATATTAAAATTGGTTACATTTTTTATATTTTTAAATAATGAAACAAAAATTAATATTGTGTTATATTATATTATTTTTGTAACATTTTAAAACATATTAACAAGTAAATTTGGCATTATTGCCAGCTATATTATAAAATATATAAATTATAATATTATTATTTTTTTAATTTATAATTATTTTTAAAAACATTTTTAAATAATTAATTAACAAAACAAAACAGTGTTTCCAACTATATCATATGAAAATTATTAGATTTTTAAAACATTTTTAAATAATTAAACAAAAACTAAATGTTGCTTTACACCCAATTATACTAAATTCATATGTATAAATTTTTTAAATAATTAAAAATGTAAATCTTTTTTTTTTCACTTGTATTGTTAAATGCAAAAGTATTTTAAAAATATAAAAACAATTTTTTTAAATATATAATAATATATAAAATTATTATTTATAATATATATATATATATATTAAAAAAATTATATATATTATAAAATAATATATAAAAAATATATTTAAAGTGGTGTGTTTTTTCTCTCTGTTGCTGGTCTGGGTGTTTGCTGGTCTCTGGCGGTCTCTGCTGGTCTCTGCTGGTCTCTGCTGGTCTCTGGCGGTCTCTGCTGGTCTCTGGTGGTCTCTGGCGGTCTCTGGTGGTCTCTGGTGGTCTCTGGCGGTCTCTGCTGGTCTCTGGGGGGCTCTGGGGGTCTCTGCTGGCCGCGGTCTCTGCTGGTCTCTGGCGGTCTCTGCTGGTCTCTGGTGGTCTCTGGCGGTCTCTGCTGGTCTCTGGTGGTCTCTGGCGGTCTCTGGTGGTCTCTGGTGGTCTTTGCAGGTTCTGGCTGGCGGTGCAGGAGCTGAAGAAACGTCCGATCCGGGAGGTTCCCAGCAGGGTGCAGGAGATCTGGGACGAGTTTCTGGCCCCTGGGGCTCCGAGTGCCATCAACGTCGACTCCAGGAGCTACGATAAAACCACGCAGAACATCAAGGATCCCGGCCGATACGCTTTCCAAGACGCTCAGGTCTGTGTTTTTCTGTTTTTACCTGACTGCGCTTAAACCACATCATGCTGGTTTCGTCCGGAGGAGAACTGGCCCCCGACTGAGCCTGGTTTCTCCCAAGATTTTTTCTCCGGTGGAGTTTGGGTTCCTTTGGCTTGCTTAGTTGAGGACGCTTGACTGATTGAGCAGACACTGTTGGAAGCAGGGGTGTAATTTTACTTGGTTACTGTACTTAAGTATTATTTTGGGGTATTTGTACTTTATTCAAGTACAATGTAACCCTTGTGTTATGTTCGATTTCTGGGATTTCTGATGCAGCGGGTCAAATTGACATTCAATGCCATTCCCAAAATATCACATTATTAAAAACGAGAAGGAATCAGGTATGAACGGAACAATTTTAATATCAGTATTTGTCTCACATTACAAACAATTGATATCAAAAAGTACGATTTTTTTTTTATGTGTTTAACATTTTTTAACCCCTTAACTGTCACCGTCCCGCTGGCAGAAGTTTACTTCTATATTACTATATTACAGTTAAATTCTTATCTAATCATGACAAACTATATATCGCTGGAAAGGTCTGAGTCTCAAGATTCTGAAAGATTGCATCAAAAAAAAATGTCAATGGAGTTTGAGTGGCACCCGGTGGCTAGTTTTGGTATAACGCCTAAACAAAAGTGTATAAGAACCTCAATTTTTTTATTTCAACTTCAAATTTGGAACACAACTTGTTTAGACATGTTCATGGCCCTAAATGAGAAAAAGTCACAAAATATCAAGAATAAAATCACAGCTTATGGTATTTCGTACAGCTCAGAAATCAAAACATAATACAAGGGTTAAACTGACTACTTCAATACAGTTCTGAAGAAAAAAACTACTTTTTACTCCTTACAATTTTATTTCAACTTAAGTAGTACATTTTTATTTGATCTCATGCACATTGCATATGTTACTGTCGTCTTTACTGTATAGTCTCTGAAGCGTTGTCTCTGGACAGTTGCATTATTTGCATTATTGACAGTGTTTGTGCTTCATCAGGAGCACATCTACAAGCTCATGAAGAGTGACTCCTACAGCCGCTTCATCAGATCCAGCGCCTACCAGGAGATGCTGCAGGCCAAGAAGAAGGTAAAGCCTCAGAAACGACTGGAAACGTCCCTCTGAGCGCCGTCCTCGTCACACACACGTGTCACAGAGATCAGACTCAGTGCCATATCACCGTGTCCTCTTTGTTTTACTTGCTGTCTGCTTTTGCATTATTTCTATTAAAACACCTGGTTTCCCGTCACGTTGTTTCTGGCGAGTCTCTTTTGTTTTGCACGTGTTTCTCTTTCTGTCTGTTGTGTGTGTGTGTGTGTTTTGTTTTGAAGCGATGAGACGAAGTGCTGGCGCTGGTTTTTCTGTGATGTGGTGAGTTTTGTCAGATGCACGTGTGTGTTTTCTGGAATCAGTGTCAGAAATATGCTGGAAGTTACCACAGAAAGCCATTTCAGTCTCTCAGCTGGATTTACTAAATCTAGTGCATTACTAAATACAGAGTGCATGATAAAGATTGTAGGTAGTAATATAATCTGTTACATTGCAAAGTTTAGGTAATATAATCTTTTGGATTACATTTGACCAAAATAATTTTTTCATTGATTTTTTAAACATTTTTTATTATGTAGTATTTATTTAGTATTTTATAGTATAGTATTTTTATATATTTTTAAATTATTATTATTATTTTTTTGTATTTTATAAAAATAAAATATATATTATATATTTTTCTATTTTTTATCTTCTTTTTTTTATAATAAAAAATAAAACACTTGCTAAAAATGATGAAATATTTGTATTAAAATATTAATATTTTATTGCCATTTTGTGAATATGAAGTGATCAATAAAAAAATACGTGAATATTTTAAAATGTACTATAATCTAATTTCACGTACTTAATTATTGTAATCTGATTATGTAATCAGCACAATCTCTCAATGCTGTTGACAGTAATTCAGTTGTACACTACTGCTAGTATTTGGGGAACTACTCAACATAGAGTTGATTTAGAATTCAGCACTTTTTCTACTGGAAGCAGCTTTATGTAAAGTATGAAAGTAAAGCTGTCTTTGATCGATTTATCAGCTCTTTCTCTTTTCTTTCACAGAAAAGCAAGAATCTTTTCTAGGGTCTGAATCACAGGTGAGACTTGCCTCAGCATACTTTGCATTATTTACAATATCAGAACATGGATAACAAACGGAATGATAAACAGCTCTTCATCTTCGCCACAGAGTGTCATTTATAGTGATACAAATATGTGATTAAATGATGACATCAGCTTCTGCTGAAGCTATAAATCTGCTTAGTCAGATGTATTTGTGTATCTCTTTTCATAATACAGATTGTTTTAAAGCAGCTTTACAGAAAATCATGATGTTAATGTTTATAATATATCATATAGTATAGTCACATTGATCTGAGTAGAGCCAGACGATAATAGAGTTACATTTATGACGATATAAAGAAGATTTGCTGTATAGTGTGTGTGGCGTTACATGCGGGAACTCTGTGTATCTGGGTAAAGTTGGACAAAAATGTGTTAAAATGCATCAAAATAATGTTGATTGATTCCAGCATTTACTAATACATTATTAAAATCAAGTTGTATCTATTATTTAACGTACCGAAGCTAACACGGACTAATGATAAACAGCTGTATTTATATGAAATAACACTAACAAAGATGAATAAGTACTGTAACAGATATATTGCTCATTGTTAGTTCACGCATTAAATACAGTTAACACATGGAACCTTATTGTAAAATGTTACCAATATCTTTTGAAGAGAGTAACAATGTTTTGGAAGAGAAAAAGGTTACACTTTATTTGAATGTGTCTTTGTTACGGTGTTATTTATGGATAACTGAATAAAAAATAAAAGCTTTTTATCTCACAGAATTGCGAGTTACAAAGTTGCGATTCTGAGTTTTTTTCTCGCAATTGCAAGTTTATATCACGCAATTTTGACTTTATTTCTCAGAATTGCGTGATATAGTTGCAATTCTGAGGAAAAAAGTCAGGACTGTGAGATAAAGTCACAATTACCTTGTTTTTATTTTTTATTCAGTGGCGGAAACGAGCTTCCATAGTTATACATTTAAGTACTGAGTAATATACGTAATATGTACTTATTAAATGGTTAGGGTTAGGATTACTTGCATGTAATTATGCATCATTTCTTATTATAATAATGCATAATTTATATGAAAAAATTAATTTAATATATTATGAACGCCTTAAAAAAATTTGAAGACAGAAAAATTGAGACACACAAAATGGGGAACAAAATTGTACGTTTTTGGTGAGAAAAATGTTTTGTGAAGAAAGAAAATTGAAGTGAGTGAGTGTGTGTGTGTGTGTGTGTGTGAGTGTGAGTGTGTGCAGATGCTGTCAGCGCTGGTTAAACCACGCAAACGTCCCGTCACTCGTCTGTACATGAATGCTGATCATTATAAAGAGCAGCTCCATCTCTGCATGAGCCACACACTTCTAAAGGACTTCAGCTCACAAAGCCATCGAAGATCCTCCTGAAAGCACTCGGCATTCCTCTAGGTTCATTTGCACTTTCTCTCCATCTGAGCTTTTAGACTTATTTTTATATCCCAGAACATGTTTAGTTGTTTTCTGTAGGCTTTGCTTCTGTAAATGTGTACAGATCCTGAGAATCAGCGTGATTTCTGATGATGAGAAACACTTCAGCGCGCACACAATCTCTGCTGTTTGATACAGACATGTGTAAAGGACACTAATCATATTTGGACATCTGTATTTTAAATACGCTAATGTTCATTTAAGATGATGGTTTGGTGGTTTTTGGAGCTCGACCGACACTGATCTGAGATCTGCGCCGCAGTGTTATTTCACTTGAGGTTTATTTCTTCAGAAAACGACTGCGATCCAAAGAAGCTCATCCGGTCTGGTTCTTGCGTTGATGATATAGATTCTGTACAGATACATAAATAAAAGCACTGGAGATTAAAAGTGACTCGGTGAATCATTAAGAACCGTTTGTGTCGTTCTGAACAGCAGAGGGCAGGGACTGCTCCTTCATTCTCATGAGAAACCTTTCTTTCATTTCATTCTCAGAAAAGTTCATTTTTCTGCCATGTCATTTATTAACAGCTTGGCATTGATAAATTATATCTCGACTTTTCATTTGTATCATATAAAACATGCAATATTTTACACAATATGCAATAATTAATTCACAAATTAATTCTTTAAACTCAAAACACTTCCCTCTGCTCAGACTATAATCAATAAAGGACAAGATCAGCTCATGTTTGCCAGCGAAACACAATTTACGAGTTGTGTAAATGTTGCAGTTTCTTCTGTTACTACATCAGATTCCATTTGTGTGATTTCTGAGTTTTCTTCATCGGTTTTTCTAACATTTTGAAACAGACTGAAGTTCTATTCTGACACGCAGTACACGTAGCAAGGGTTTTTTTAATAAATAAAAAGGATAGAAAAAGAATAGAGCAAGCTAGTGTTAGAGGCCTTTTTTGCTTGAGAGAGAGAGAGACAGAGAGGGGCATGATTTGTGTACTGATCAGAGCCAATAGAAAGCTCTCAGTGTGATAAGATCCACATGCGAGTGACGGAGAAGAGCCATACAGCGCACACACACACACACACACACACACACACACAGAGTGAGAGAGATTGATAGAGCCTCCTCCAGAGAGCAGCATCAGTCTGAGAGGACCCGTCTCAAACAGCAGCAGAGGCTCTCGTCTGCTCCGTCCATGGGCTTGAGCGGCGCCGGCGTCCCTGGACTCTGGATCTGCTCCGTCTGACCGCACACTCGTCCAGGTGAGGCTCTGCTTGGGGTGTGATGAGGTCTGTGCTGGAGTGTTTGATCCGATTACAGCTGCTTCTGCGGGTCGGTGAGCGCTCGAGCCGGCACTGAGCGAAAGAGGATTTATTAGGCTTTTATTCACACACTCCTTTCATCGCTAATATACCCTGCTATGATTTTATAATCATAACCACACGCACAACTAGCCATATATCGATTAATCGGCTGATGTTTGACCATTTTGAGGCCATTAACATCAGCAATAATCAGCTTGACTAACTTACTAGCTTCTTTTTTGTGTGTGTGTAAATCAAGTTATAACTTTTTTCATGTTTAAAAAAAATATTTTTGATAAGATGATAATCTCAAAAATATTATTTATGCATCATTCATGGAACATTTTATTTCTGTTTTAGGTGGACATTTAATTTTTTTTATATTTAAACACAATAAAATAAAATGTGACCCTGGAGCACAAAAGCAGTCATAAGGGTCAATCTTATGAAATTGAGATTTATGCATCATCTGAAAGCTGAATAAATAAGCTTTCCATTGATGTATGGTTTGTTAGGATCGGACAATATTTGAAAATCTGGAATCTGAGGGTGCAAAAAAATCTAAATATTGAGAAAATCATCTTTAAAGTTGTTCAAATGAAGTTCTTAGCAATGCATATTACTAATCAAACATTAAGTTTTGATATATTTACGGTAGGAAACTTACAAAATATCTTCATGGAACATGATCTTTACTTAATATCCTAATGATTTTTGTCATAAAAGAGAAATGTATAATTGTGACCCATACAATGTATTGTTGGCTATTGTTACAAATATCCCCCAGCGACTCAACACTGCTTTTGTGCTGCAGGGACACATATGTTTCTTTAATGTTTGTATAAATCAAGAGAACAATGTTTTTAAAACATTAAGTGTTTAAAATAATTATTTAACTATTTGTTTCAGAACATTCAAAAGTAACATTTCCATAATGTTTACAAAATGATCAAATGGAATGTTAATGTTTGTACAACTAAGAAAAAACGTTTTGAAAAATGTAAAAGTGCTTAATGTTTAAAAGAATTGTTTTTAATTATAAGTTAAATTTCCACACCATTAAAGTCTTTAATAAATGTTCTCAAACTGTTAGCACGAACACATTTATTTATACATCGTTCAAAGAAGGTTTCAGAAAGACGTTCATGTAACAATTTTTAAATGTTACTATTGTTTCAGAACGTTCAGAAAACATTCAAAAGTAACGTTGCCGAAACGTTTGCAAAATGATCAAATGGAATGTTTTCTTAACATTTTTATGAAAAACAAAAATTTTTTAAAACATTAAGTGTTTAATGTTTTAAATGATTATTTTTAATACGTTTCATTTCTACAGTCCAGTGCATCTCATTTTCTCTCACTGAAGTGAATGTGGAAAAGCTCTATAATACTTCTAGTGGATTCTAAACTGAATTGGCTGAGCACTGCAGAGAGAGATGGACACGAGGATCATAGAGCAGGTCTGATAGAGTCAGAAGCAGCAGATCAGAAAGCTTTGAAATCATGTCTGAAGCTCAAAATCAGATTGATATTCTGAAATCAGAAGCTGTGAATTCAGATTTCTGTGCGTCTGTCCCGCGTCTCGCTGTCAAACACAGAGACATCAGCAGGAGTCACTGATGCAGGACCAGCTAAAAACCCCTCAGACTGCACGATACCAGCAGATCTAATCAACCAAGACAATCAACTACAGCTCACTTTAGAACTCAGTTACAACAAGATGACACACACACACACACACACAAACACAGAGACATCAGCAGGAGTCACTGATGCAGGACCAGCTAAAAACCCCTCAGACTGCACGATACCAGCAGATCTAATCAACCAAGACAATCAACTACAGCTCACTTTAGAACTCAGTTACAACAAGATGACACACACACACACACACTCACACACACACACACACACACACACACACACTCACACACACACACACACACACACACACACACTCACACACACACACACACACACACACACACACTCACACA